GGGGGGGGGGTTTTTTTCCTCAAAAAGGGGGCCCCCCCTTTTCTTTTTTGGGCTTCCCAAATTTTTTGGGGGGGCAAAAAAAAAAAAATTTGGGGCCCCCCTTTAGGTCCCCCCCCGGGGGGGGGGGGGGGGGGGGGGGGGGGGTAGCTCAGTGAGGCAGAATCCTCCGTTGCTCCATTGCCGCCCAAAAAGAACTCTTGCTGCAGGACTGGGCGGTCGGAGGCGGCAGAAGATGACTTGGGGGGCGCGGCTAGGCTGTAGCTTTGCGCGCGTCAGTCAGGGAGCTCAACTGGGGCTGGCTGGCAGCCGGGACCTCCAGTGCTTCGGAGAGTCTTGAGGTGGTGCACCTACGAGCAACAACCGCACTTACCCATCACGACCACATAGCTTCCATACACGACAACGACAGCCAAAATGTCAGCATGCCCATCGAGACAACCTCGAATTGTGCTAACAATGTCACAGGGAGGTGCTTCTCGGAATTACGGGCAAGGACTTCACCATCATCGCCGCCTCCAAGGCTGCGATGCGAGGCGCAACCGTCCTCAAGGCGTCCGACGACAAGACGAGGCAGCTGAACAAGCACACGCTGATGGCCTTCTCAGGAGAGGCTGGTGATACAGGTTCGTGGCCACGGAGGCCCCTTTGATTCCCCCGCATGCTCCCCCGACTGACGGTTCCTCCCCGCGCAGTACAATTCGCCGAATACATTCAAGCAAACGCCCAGCTTTACTCCATGCGAAACGAGACGGACCTCTCTCCATCCGCCATTTCCCACTTTGTCCGCGGTGAGCTCGCCTCTAGCCTGCGCTCCCGGAAGCCCTACAACGTCAACCTCCTGCTGGGCGGCGTCGACCCCATCACTCTCAAGCCCGCGCTTTACTGGATGGACTACCTCGCGTCGATGGCGCCCGTGCCATATGCCGCCCACGGCTACGCACAGTACGTTTGGGCATGAACGTCTTCGTATGTGTTTCATCTTGCTGACCCACGTGCAGATACTACTGCCTCTCCATCCTCGACAAACACCACCACCCCGATATCACCCTTGGCCAGGGCATCAAGATCCTCAACATGTGCACAGACGAGCTGAAGAGACGAATGCCCATCGACTTCAAGGGCATGCTCGTCAAGGCAGTGACGAAGGACGGCGTGATTGATATTGAGTTTGATGACGACAAGGTAGTCAAGAGCGCCTAAGTGTCAGCTTCGGTCACGGTGCACGGATGGGGAGGATAAAGGGCCATCAACGATGGCATGTATACTAGACTCGGTCGGTCAATGATACAGGCGTCGATTTTTCGAGGCTACGGCAAAGCTAAGAACCCATGTCTGTCTTGCTGCAGTGAGAATGCTGTGACAGCTATCTTCGCCGGCATTTCTGTCAACCTTGCTCTGTTGTCTTTTCCATCTACGACCAATGCGCCATACCCGTCAACACGCAAAGAATCAAAGCTTGCTGAAGCAAGCTTGGTTAGTCTCGTGTTTTCTCTCTCGATGAGGCAGCTTCTACCGCATCAAGACATGGTCACCGTAGACTAGCCTGCCCATTATGGTCGGATTGAGGAACAGGTGCCCGTGCTTCCGAGACGCATTACGACGAAAACGAGGGCATCGTGACGAGGGGCTCGGCGTCGCATGGCAGAGAGCTCTTGCTTTTCTTCGGCGTTACGCCTTGGACTTGAGGTGTATCGGCCATTGCGTAACTTGTAAGCTATAGCGAATCGAACCATGCCCGATCCAATGATCTCGAGACCCTGTACAGCCAGTCACGCCCACATGTTTTGAAGTGCGGCTCAAAGTCAAGCATCACAGCCATGTTGGCCTGCAATTTGGGCCAACAGTGGAAGACCACTATGCCTCGGGCTCATAGACCTTACCTTAGTCAGAGAAGCGTCAGACATCCGATGCTGAGTCTGCAATCGCAGCCACATTGGGTGGCGTGGATCATCCAGAGCATAGTGGTATGACCGTTAATCCGAACTCAAGATCTGAATCACGCGAATGCTCTCGAACAAGGTTTCCAGGAGTGACCTGAGACGAGCAAGAGAAAGGGTCGAGGTTCCCTGCAAATCAGTAGTACTTTCGCAGTGAGACGGCAGTGATGTTCGAGTGTGTATCCCTCGAAGGTACCGCCCATCCTTCCCACACCACCCCATCTCATCTGGCTGCCATGCAACCACGTATAGTTGGTGTCACTGGGTATCGTCACAAGACCCGCAGACCGGGAACCTAGCAACCCCTACAACGACGCTGTCCTGTCTTTCCGTAATGAGGTCACATGATAACCGCAGTGGTAGACTTCTGCATCAGTAGCTTGCGATTTCTCCAATAGGAACATGAGGTCGTAAGTTACCGTCGAAGGACCATGAATCGGTCAAAATTTTGCCTCTTGCTACCTGTGTGGTTCGTCTTCGGTACCCTTCCAAGCCTTCCAAAGTCGCTCTTCCCGTCCTTCTAGCGGGTGCATGTCGTGCCAGCGCCGCCGGTTGGCCGAAGAGCGTTATGTCATCATCGGTCGACATTTGACTGAATCGTAGCGACACGTCGACGTCGGGGGGGGGGCCCTGGCCCAGTTTTCCCTCGAAATGGCAAAGCACATGCATTTGGGTGGCCAAAGTGGTACAGGTGCTAGGGCGTACTGGCCACTCACAAAGCAGGCATTCCGTGCTTTGGGGGTCCGTGCTCTTTCGCTCTCACCGCGCAGCCCACAGGGCAGGAACTAGGCAACTACGCG